AGTAACAGTACCCATTAACGACAGTAAGGGCGTCACCTCTCCCCCGCGGCTTCTGCGTGCCGGGCGCTGTTGTAAAGGCCTTCATCTGTGCCCTTCTAATGCCCTTTGGGACCCCAGGAGCTGGGTGCTGTTCAGTAACTGCCGAGACTGAGCACAGAGAGGGGAGGCCTCGGCCCTGGGTGGCTCAGCCGGGGGGCGGCAGGCTTGCCTCCGGGCCGGGCAGCCTGGCTACAGCCGGCAACGCCATCAACTCCGAGCCCGGCCGCCCCGGCCGGTCCCAGCTGCCTCCTCTCAGGGTTCCTTTCAGGATCCTCTCCTCCCCGACCAGCCCTGAAGCTTTGCCCTGTCCTCCCGACAGCCCCCCGCCCGCCTGCCTGCCCTTGCCTTGTGCACAGGGCGCCGGCGCCAGCCAGGGACGGGAGAGAGATGCGGGCTGGCGTTCTGTCAAGGAATTAATTGAAAAATAAAATCATTAGATGGGAACTCCAGAAATGCAAAATGGTGGCTGGAGAGTGGGGAGGGGGACGGGGGCAGGACTGGGGGGTTGCTGGGGGACGGCTGAGCTTTTTGTCAAGTTAATTTCTTGGGTGTTGATGTTTGGTGACATTCGCTTGTTGTTTATCTCCGGGTGCAGCTGTGATACTGAAAGAGAACGCACAGCTTGTTCCGTTTATTTATTTTACACCTTTCTCTGGTTCTGCATTATGTTTGTTCGGTGAAAACCCACTGAGGCTTTTGATGTCGGGGAGATGGGATTTCAGCAGCTGTTCCCGGCAAGCAGGGCGCTCCGCGTGCGGATGGGGCCTGTGGGGGGGGTGGTTGCTGGGTGTTGTCTGGTGGGGACTCGGGGCCCGACGTGTCCTCTGGGGGGCGGGGCGGTGCTGGGGGCCCCGGCCTGAGCCAGATACACCAGGCCCCAGGGTACCAAGCCCTTGGGGCGCCAGGCTCCGTGAGTGAACTCACTGATCCTTGCCGCCGCCCCGGGAGGTCGCGTCTCCACCCGCAATGTACAGACAGGCAGCCGAGACCCCAAGAATACAAGTGACCTGCCCAAGGTCACCGAGCGTTAAGTGGCAGAGCTGGGACCTCAGACTGTCTGACTTCTGGGTGTCATGGGACTTGCCTGCCACTCACCCCACAGCCGTCAGTGGAGATCCCTGTGCCTCTGGTTTCCAGCTGGAGGAGGGGGAACCATACCTGCTTTGGCCTTGACCAGCTAAATCACTTCATTCACTTACTGGACAACTATTTATTGCTCACCTACTGTGTACCAGCCTTCCTGTGACAGCCCCTGCCCTGCTGGCACTCCCTGGCCTAATGGCAGAGGGACACATTAAATCAACACCTCTGACATGAGCAGTAGTAACAAAGATGGTGGTCGCAGCACCGTCATGGAGCCTGACCAGGTGCTGGCATTGCTCTTTTCTCTCCTCAGTGCTCACCACAGCCCCAGGAGGTAGGCATTCCTAGTGGCCCCATATTACAGATGAGGAAACTGAGGCCCAGAAGGGCTAAGTCTGCTGCTCACAGCCTCACAGCCAATCCATGCCTGGGCTGTGGGGTCAGTGCCCACAGTTCCTGAGCACAGTTACAATAGGTGCTGGGGACAAGTCAGGGGGCTCTGAAGGGCTTTTGCAGGAAGAAGGAGCCCTCACCTCCCGGGGAGTCAGGACGGCAGCAGAAGGCAGCCACAGAGAAGGGAGGGGTGGCGGAACAGCCCCGTCCCCCCACGTTATACATGAGGGGTTGAATCTCGGACGGGGCACATGCCCTGCCCAAGGTCACCCAGCTCGGGAATGGTCAAAGCCAGACGCAGTGGCCACACGCCCTGTCACCACAGGGTCCTGCGTGATCTTGGCCCCGCCCCCAGGCAGGGCCCCTCGGGAGATGCCACAGAGCACAACACAGAGCATGCGTGGGTTGCAAACTAGACCGTCTGAGGTGGAATCCAGGGGCTGCCACATGTTAGCTGGGGGCGGGGGGGCGCCTCTGGTGTGTATGATCCTCTGCACCTCCGTTTTCCCACCCATGAAATGGGGGTGATGACACCAGCCTCCGGAGGGTTTATGAAACTAAGGTGAGACACCACTTGTTAAGTGCCCGTCCTGTGTGTTTCCTCTTCCAGCTATGTCGCCCTCTGGGCCTCAGTTTCCCCAGTCGTGGTGCCTCTCTTCCCGCCACTCCATTTGTTTGTTTGCTGTCCCGACAACTGCAGTTTTACTTTTTAAAAGTTACCCACATTGGTGCCCCTTTTTATTCATTCACTCAGTCATTCATTCATCCATTTTTATGTTCAACAAATGATGACAGAGCACCTACTGTGTGCTCAGCCCTGGGACGGTCTCTCGCAGTCTGGCTCACAGTGTGGTGGAGCCAGGCCAGTGCAGCGCTCGGGATGTTCCGGTGACAGAGAGGCCCTTGGAGCTGGCCAGGCCCCTGGTGACCCTGGGCCGTGCTTCTCTGAAAGGTCCCCGAGGTGGGCTGGTGCCCGATGGGTGCCCTGTGCTGGCCACTGGGGGCACCCGGAGTTCACGCCCCAGTCACCGCCTGCGCGGTGCTCCTGGGCCAGCTGGGTAAGAGCCACCCGTGTGCCTGGCACCTGCCCCCTTGCCAGTCTCAGAGTCATGCTCAAGCCGTGGGAAAGAACGAAAATTCTGCCAAGGTGAAAGCGGTAGCTGCCACCATCATGGCTGCTGCTCCACTGGCCGCCGCCTCGCGCCCCAGGCCAGCCCAGGAGAGCAGGGACCAGCCGTCCCAGGAGCTCAAACCTAGCCCATCATTAGCCTCTGGGAGTGGGGGGGGGGGGGCGTCAGTGACAGGCCTGCAGGTCCTTCTGTTTCCCGGCTCCTACTACCTGCCCAAAGGTCCAAGTTCCAGAGACCGTTGCACACTTCTGGCAATTATTTGGAAACCCAGAGAGGGCGGCGGGGGCGAAGGAAGCAGGTGTCCGCCCCAGCCCCTCCTGTCCCCCTCCCTCCTCATGACTAACAACATGGTGATGATGGCCTGAGGCTCCGGCCGGGCGGGCCTCCCGCCCCTTCCTCACCCTCCCCGAGGGGCCAGCCCCTCCGCGTCCCCCCTTTCTGCCCCATTCGCTCATCCCCTCGTTCAACAGCTGCTCACAGGCACCCACTGGGTGCCAGGCAGTGCGCTGAGGCAGGAGACACGGCCGTGAACGGGGTAGCTCTGTCCCCAGACAAAGACGCGCCCGCCGGGTGGTGAGAAGTGCTATGGGGCGAGGTGGGGTTGGAGAGCGGGGACCTGTCGACGACAGCGGCCAGGGGAGTTCTCTCTGAGGAGGGGACGGGGGAGCAGGGGTCTCCGGGTGGGAGCGCACTTCGCGGGCCTGGGAGGGCCCGGCCCAGGCAGTGCCTCGAGATGACCACGGAGAGCTCCCGGAGTGGAGCAGGAGAGCCTGTCCTGGAAGGATCCCTTGGGCTGCTGTTGGCGGGGGAATAGGTGGCCCTGAGGGTGAGGGCGGAAGCAGAGTCCGCTGAGAAGGTGCGAGTGCTCGGGTCAGGCAGTTAGCCGCGGAGAAGAGGAGAAGGGTCAGCGTCCGGGTCAGGTTCTTAGGAATGAGATGGAGAAATAGCCTCAAAGAGGTCAAGTCACTTGTCCAAGACCACCTGGAAGAGACCCAAGATGCTGCATCTCGAGGGCGAGCGTTGGGCTAGGCTCTGGGGAGACCCGCTGCCTGCAGGAGCCCCAGACCCAGTGGGGAGGTGGCAGCTAAGCATCGCAGTGGCAATTTGGCCCACCCGGAGGATTTCACAGAGGAGGTGTTGTTTGAACCAGGGAAGGAGAGGCTATTGGGACAGCATCCGACAGCTGCCTCAAAACAAGCCCAGCGTTATCTGGGGGTGAGGCTGACCATGAATGACTGGTTAGACAGCAGAGGGACTGACAGAGTCAATCTAAGCCCAGAGCCTTCCCCCTCCCACCCCCACCCCATTCCCTTCCTGGAGGGCTGAGAGGACCAGCACACCTCCCCCCTCCACCCTTTGTCTCCCTGGCAGTCTCTGGGCAGCACCTGAGACTTTTATGAAAAGAGGAAAGACGGTGGGCTTTGGTGTGTCTTGGGTCCTGGTTTCACCACTTCCTAGCTGAGTGACCTTAGACTTACCTGTCTTTGCTTCAGTGCTCTCACCTGTGAGAGGTAATAATAATACCTCCCCATGGGATTGTTGAGAAGATAAGAGCCATAGCACAGAGCAGATAATCAATAGTGTTTGGCACCCTGGGGACATATATTTTGCCGAGCCCACCACGCCCTTTCACACTGTGCATCTACCTCCCCTTCCCCATCTCCTCACAGAGAACTCCTCTGCATTCTTCAAAGCCCAGGTCAAATAGCCCCTCTTCTCTAAAGCCATCTCTAATTGTTTTTCCCTCCATGCCTCATCTGGAGTCCTTGAGCATCCAGTCACCCAGCATTTACTAAACACCTACTGTATGCCAGCCACCTACTATACCATTAAGAGTCTGCGACTCCAAGAGAACAGGAACTTGTTTCCCAACCCCTGGCCTCGCTTGACTTGGCCTCTCTGGAGGTTCTGGCTCCCCCTACATCAGGCAGAGACTCGCTAACCTCTGACCTGCCGGGAAGGGCCTTCCTCCCTTCTTTCCTCGGTGGGTGGAAGATGGGGAGGGGTGGCCGACAGGGCTGGGAGAGAGGCTGCCCCCTGGTGAAGTAGAGACTAAGCCTCCGTGTTTCTCTGTCTCCCGCTCTGTCCTCTCTTCCCCTTTCTCATACCTCCTCTGATGCTCCTTCCCCCTCTTCTTGTCTTTGCTTATTTCTTCGGTCTCGTCTCCCCACCCCCACCCCGGGTCTGTACCTGCTCTCCTACCTCCCACCCCTTCCCTCTGTCCCTTCCTGAATCCCCTCCCCCTGCTCCCTGTTTGCTCTCCCCTTCCCTCTTCCTCTCTGTCGTCTCTCTCTTCCTGACTCCCAACCCTCTCGGCTGTTCTTTTCTCCTCTCTTGCCATCTGGGCTCCCGCAGAACCCCCGAAGAAAAAGCGGTCTGTGGTGTTGGACGAGATCCTGGAGCAGCTGGAAGACAGTGAGGACGGCGGTGACGAGCAGACCCTTCAGCCGTGAGCTGGCGCCGAGGGTACGTGGCTGCAGAGCCCTGGGGACGGGGCACAGCCGCTCCGGCTCTGCACCCCCTACCACGGGGGCCGGGCGGGCCGCACCGCCCGGTGGGGCAGCAGCAGCAGGCAGCCCCGCCCTCCACTGGTCCAAGGTCGGAGGGGACGATGGCCTCAGCCCACTGCCCGGGCATCCCGGGCCCCAGGCACTGACTGCGCCTGCTCTGTGCCCAGCACTGCAGGGCCAGAGAACAGGCGCAGGATGCCACCGCGCCGGGCAGTCCCTCGTGGCAGCACGAGGATCTGGAAGTGGCAGAAACCACCGAGCCCTGCGTCCAGCCCAGCCATTGGCGGTTCCCGCACAAGTTCCCCCTCTTGCTTCTCCTCCCAGCAACCCTGAGATGCAGACAGGGCCTCACCATGCTGGCGCGAAGGCCAGGGTGCAGGGGGACTTCAGGGCTTGCACCGGGGTGCGCAGCTACATGGGCGCAAGGACCCTCGGGCCCCACTGCCCACGAGCCCGGAACACTCACCAGGCTGAAGGCAGCTCTCTGGAGTTGGGCGCTTTGGGCATGAAGCCCCGCTCCACCCAGCACAGACTGGGGACCCTGCCAAGTCAGCTCAGCTCCCTGGGCCCAGCCTCCTCAATAACTGCTTCCCACCTCAGAGGACTTTAGCGAGAAAGAAATGTAATAATCGTGAAGAACGCCAGGAACAGTGCTGAGCGTGTGAGGCGGGCTCCAGAAGCTTCTGTTCTCGCTCCCCCTCCAGGGCTGCTAAGCTGGAGTTCCTGCCTCCGTCTCTCCAAGGGACTGCTCACAGCCTGGGACGTGGCCTCTGTCCTGCCCCTTCCTCGCCACTTGGGACCACAGGCCCTGGTTCAGTCACAAGAGCGTCTTCCGTCCGTGCTGACCATGGGGCCACTCACGAAGCACTAAGCTCCAAACCCAGACACCGGCTCATTGGTTGAGCCCGGCTGTGTCGCTAACGGCAGACGCCCTCTACTCACAGGCTGGGGACGCCGTGAAATGCAAACAGGTCCCCAGCCCTGGCAAGCAGCGTCCCAAGTCTCATCCCAGACCTGGGGTGCCCACACCTACTCCCGCCTGGAGATTCACACCCAGCACACACCAGGAGGGGGATGGTAGAGAGGAAAGAGCTAGAACCCGTCTGCCCTGGGTCTGAACCCCAGCTGTGTGACTTTGGACCGGCGAGGTCCCCTCTGACCCTCAGCTTCTCTTTCTATAAAATGGGGGTGATCTTGTACCTACCTCAGAGATGGTGCTCGGACCACATCAGCCAGTCCAAGTAAAGCCCAGAGCAAGCACTCGTTTTTGTTTCCTTCTTCATTTGGGGCAGCTGGGCCCCGAGTGAGAGCCCAGGGATCTTCTGACTTGCTGTGTAAAATTTGGTCTGTGTATTTTTCTGGGAGGAGGTTTCAGTCCACACCAAGCAGTTTTCGGAGTGGCCTGGAATCCAAGCAAGACCACACAGCGCGGACAGTCCTGCAAGGCTGAGCGTGTCCCCAGCTCCCTGGGGGGCAGGTGCTTCCTAATCCATCCTAGGTTATCCCTGGGACACAATGGAAGCAAAAGACACAGACCCGGAGTGGCTCATATCCCAGCTTTTATAGTGAGGTGTCTCCCCGACATCAGACCATAGAGCCTGCGTGGGGTCCCTCGGGTGACCAGGCTCCCAAGTTTCCGTGGGTCCCAGGGATGACAGGGCTGGGGTCCACCCCCTCCCTCCCCACTGCTTGTCCCGTTAAGGACCACGTGGATTCTTTTGGTTAAAGAAGATTGCAGACCCGTGGGCCTGGCACGGGAGGAGGTGACATTGGCACCGGCTTCACTGAAGGTACTAGAATGTCCCCAGATCGGAATTCACCACCTCCTGCTGTTGCCATGCCAGCTCGGGCTCTGCATTCAGACCGTTCTGGGTTCCTGGTAACATCCACCACTCGCCAGCCTTGTGAGTGGGGGCCAGTGACTTAACCTTCGATTCCTCAGTCTTCTCATCTTTAAAATGGGATGGTGCTAACAGCACCTCCATATACCGGGGGTATTGTGAGGCCCAGAGAGCTTCAGGCACCTGCAGGAGGTGAATCTGACCCCAGGGCCTCGGGTCTTTCTTGACCTTCATGCTTTACTATCTTCCCTGCGTCCAGAAGAAAAAGCAAGCAAGCCCCGGGCCCGAGCCCAGAGAAAGCTCAGGACCAGCAGGGGAGCGAGGGGGCCCCCCCGCGAAGCCGATGGCCTGAGGGCGCAGCAGGCGGGAAAGCCACCAGCCGTTCAGCCAGCTGCACGCAGGGAGACTGGCCCCTTCCCTCCTGCCTGCCCGTCCCAGCCTGGCGTCTGTACCCCCAACCCTGGGGGCTTACTGTCTGGGGGGGAAGGGCTCCCCCATAAGCAAATGGAAGCAGTCACTTCAACTCCCCTAGAGATCTCGGGGGGGGGCACCCCATCACCCCACCTTCGTGCCACACCTGGCCCTCACCAACGCCCATAGCAGACTCCACGCTGCCCCAGGAGCACTGCATTCTCCACATGCAGCCCTGAGCTGGATCATGGGGAATGTAGTGTAAAGCCCTTCGGCCCTGCCCCCGCATGCACACGTGGAGTAAAACCACACTCTTCACCACGATGAGCAAGAAGGCCCTGCCTGCCCTGCCCCTGCCACTCACTTACTGCTCTCCAACCTGGAAGCACAGTCCCACCCCAGGGCCTTTGCACCTGCTCTTTACTCTGCCTGGGACACCCTTCTTCCACTTTCTTCCTGTTTCCTTCCCCCATCTCCACCAGCCACTCTGAGATCTTCATTTAAGCTTCCCTCCCTTCCTCAGAGAGACAGCCCCGACCACCTTATGGAAAGTAGCCACGCTCCGTTCCTCTCCATGCCCAGCCCCTGCCCCCATGTCGTCTTCAGCCGATCCTGTCCCTGTTCCTTTCAGTCACAGCACCTGGTGCCTGGAGGCTGAACAAGTGTCTCAGTAACCCTGAGCCCTGTCCCCCACCCCTTTGAAAGTAACTCTTTAAATAGGAACTACTAAAGCTCTCGTCATTTTTATTATCATAATCATCATCGGCATTATTATTGGTATTCTGGAATAAAAAGTATAGCTAGGTAATAATAAAATAAAGCCAGGTCTTTAGCCTGGCCCAGAGGAGGGCCCACCTTTCCCCCTTTGAGGGAGAGGGACTGCGTGAAAGCATTTCAGAAGAAAAGCCTCCACCCAGTGTGTGCCGGGTGAACTGGGGAGACTCCGGGCCTAGGAGCCAAGGCCCTGGGGAGATTGACGGTCACTGTTGCCACCAGAGCAGTGGGGCACGGGGGGAGCTTTCAGGGAGGGGGCTTCAGGTGAGTTCGAATGATGATGGGACATCAGAGGTCCCAAACCACCAGAAGACGTAGGAGAGAAATTCCAGAAATAAAGCACAGAGGTCGCATCTGAGGAAACACAAGCATTCTGAGGTGGGTCGTGGTGGAAAGGAGCCCGTGTATCCAGGAAGGCAGCCTGGAGGGAGTGACCTCTGCCCAGCAGCCCCCGAGCAGGCCAAGCAGAGACGTGGTTTACCCAGTTGCTCCTCATACGAAGCCAAAGCCAGACTCAGGATGGGCCCACGGTTGCCGTGGTGCAGTCGGGAAATAAGCGAGCCCCTCCCCCAGAAACGGCCGGTGTCGCTGTGCTTATTCCTAACCTTTTCCATCCTGGGGTTACCCGTAGGCACCGATGCCGTTGCCACAGTAGACTGGAAGCCAGGCTCGGGCCCTTGTGTCAGCGCTTGTAAGTCATTCCACAGACCCTCAGCCGTGGGGTGATCCCAGGGTGTGAGGTCTGCCCCCTTCCTCCCTGGGAAATGCGAGCTGGCATCCTCCAGCCGGTTTGCATGCTCTGCAGGGGCTGGTGTGGAAGATCACAGGACTGGAGTAAGCCCAGGTCCCAGCGGAAGCACCTTGACCCTGGGAGGGCGCCAGGCATTTTGCAGTGTCTCAGAAAGGAAAAGGGGGGGAACAGCACAGGCCAGAGGCAGAGAGAGGGTGGTGGAGTTAAGTCCTCAAACCAACGGCTAATCCTCACTCCCAATCATTCATTCATTCATCCATCGAACACTAGGCATCCCTCTGCACTTGGCACTGTGCTGGGTGCCAGGAATACAGGGACAGAAACACTGGATCCACACGGGAGTTTGTCTCCTGGGCTTGAAGACCCGAGAATCAGGCAGAAGACAGTTTCCAGTGGCCTTTGCCCCCGTGTTTTTCCTCCTTTCCTTTTGCCGCCGCCTTGGGCTCTTTTGTCTTCTGTGGCGGGGCCCGTCCCTCCCAGCGCCTGTCTGTGCTCTGCAGTATCTAGGAAAGGATTAGTGCAAGCCGAGCATGGAGGCTTTGGTGAACAGAGCCGAGTTTGGTTTCAACATCTAATTCAATTTGTTCTGCCGAGATTGAAATATGAAATGGTTGCCAGTCAAACGTTCAAAGGACGGCGAAGGGAGAGTGAGTACCTGCTGAAATTTGAATTTTAATGAAAATGACTTTAACCCTTTGGTACGCCTTGCAGAAATGAAACGCGCTCCCCTCCCACGAAAAAGCCTCTCTGGTTCTCTTTGCTGAGCTTCGCTAATAACATGCGATCATTTTTTTCAGCAGTATTAATAATAACAGATTAATAGAATCCTGGCTTAATAATAAATTTGTTCTCCCATCTTGCCCCAGCCACTGAAATAGGCACCTTCCCCTAGCTGACTTTTCCAAACCCCACGCCAGACAAGCCAGGCCCCCGTGCTGCATGCCCTCGTAACACCTAAGCGCCTCCCTGGCCCCTGTCACAGCTGTAAATGGTTGTCTGTGTCGTGGTTTCGTTTCTGTCCTCCCTCCTGGGGTTGTCAGCCCCAGGAGGGCAGGGTCCATGCCTGTTCCCTGTGCACCGCGTCTCCTGTGCCTCTCGGGCAGGAAGTGTTTGGTAAATATGTGATGAAGGAACGAACGCCAACTTTGTCCTCCCAGCAGCTGTGGGAGGTAAGTTTACGAGATTGTACAGAAGTGGAGCCTCCAAGGGGGAGGCGACATTCCCAGGTGACACGGCACAAGGGGCTGGCCCCGGGACTCGTGCCCAGCTCCAGGTAGCGGGAAGCCCGAGTTCCAACCTGCCTCGAGCTCTCCTACCCCGGGCGGCGGGGCAGCACGTGCTCGCAGGAGAGCCTGGCCCCACTCGGGGCCTTAATGCACACCCTCCTCTCGTCACCCCTGCACCGCGGGCTGCGCTGCTGTCCCATTTTACAGATGTACTCGAGGCTCAGGAAGGAAGGCCGGCGTGTGCCGGAAATCAAAAATCTGACCTCAGGGCGGCTTGAATGAAAGGCATCCAGTCATTTTTCCCCTGCCAGGTCTCTCCCTGCTCAGCACCTACTTACCATGAACTCCTAACATGCTGTTTGATTTTAATACCATCGAATGCCGTCCATCCCCAGTGCATGGGCACATGTTGGGGCTCAGTGGGGCTGTGGAGGGCACCAGGGTAGAGCATGAGGGTGATGGGGTACCCCCGAGACCCGCGGAGGATGGTCACCTCCCGAAGGCAGAGCCCATGACCTCATCCCTGGGGGCTCCCGTTGCTGCAGAGCCCAAGGAGAGGTCTGAACCTGAAACACCTGGGCGCATGCATCCCAAGATGTTTGCTCAGGCTGCTGTGCACCAGACCCAGCCCTGGGTGCTGGGAGAGACACTCCCGGGTCCCCAGGAGCTGACAGTGGGATGTGGGGAGACAGACAGCAAGCAGATGTTTTCTCCTCTGGTGCTACTGAGGCTGCTTTCTGTACGGGGTGTCCGGAGGGACCGAGGGAGGACTCCCCAAGGAGGTGGCGTGAGAGCAGAGCGGGAAGGAAGGGACGGAGGGGCAGTGGGACTGGGAAGACCACTGTGCAGGCTCAACTGGGCTGCCGAGCCCAGGGCCCCTGCAGTAATCCAGGGGAGGCGTGGCGGCTTCAGCCAGCAGAGGAGGTGACAGGCGGCCGGGTCCCAGATGTTTTGAAGGTGGAGCCCAGGGGACAGACTAGAGGTCTGGCTGTGGGCTGCGCGGCGCCATGGTCTGGGCCCTGAGCCCCGGGAAGACAGAAGCCAGCATGTGCTGAGACAGGCCATAGGCAGGAGCTGGCCCAGAGGAGACACCAGGAGTTGGGTTTTTAACGCGTTCAGTTGGAGAGAGCTGTCGGGTGGAGATGGAGAGCTTCCCAGAGGATGTGTGTCTCCAGTTCAGGAGAGAGGGCTGGACCAAAAGTGTAACAGGAAATCATCTGTTTTTCTTTAGGAAATCTAAGAAGCAGCGTGGAGGCTCACAGCCGCGTGCAGGCAGAGCTGGGATGTCCTCGCTCAAAGCTTACCAGTTCCCAGTTCATTTTGAAGCCCCTTTTAGGTGGTTCCAAACTCTCTTGACCACAGGACCCCTTTTTCCAAGCAAAAGTCTTAGAAAAACCAAGAACCCCAATGTAGAAAACAGAGAAAGTAGAACCGCTCTATTCAAAGTCAGGGTGTAAGGGCCCGCACGTGTTCATCCTCCCTGTCAGGAGTTGGTTGGAAAACCACTGATGTAAACATGTCTCATGAAGCATGGAGTGCAGGCTTCCGTGGTACACGAGGTGATTTTAGGCAGCCCATAAACTTTATTTTTTTTAATTTTTAACTTATGGGTTTATTTTCACATGTACGTTACAATTGGAAATATACAGCTAGCTCATCAAGCCAATGGTTTTGCCAAGCCCTAAGGAGGAGGTAAAAAAAATAGTGAATTTGTATAAAGAAAATTATTAAGAACATGAATGTGATACAAAGAAGTGGTAAAGGGGGCTTCCCTGGTGGCGCAGTGGTTGAGGGTCCACCTGCCAATGCAGGGGACGCGGGTTCGTGCCCTGGTCCGGGAAGATCCCACATGCTGCAGAGCGGCTGGGCCTGCGCGCCATGGCCGCTGGGCCTGCGCGTCCAGAGCCTGTGCTCCGCAACGGGAGAGGCCACAGCAGTGAGAGGCCCGCGTACGGAAAAAAAAAAAAAGAGAGACAGAAGTGGTAAAGGGAATTCCCTGGCTGTCCAGTGGTTAGGACCCCATGCTTTCACTGCCAAGAGCCTGAGTTCAATCCCTGGTCAGGGAGCTAAGATCCTGCAAGCCACACAGCTTGGCCAAAAAGAAAAGTGGTAAATAAGGGACATGAGTGATCTAAACTGGGGGTTGGTAGTCTGCGGGCCTGTGGACCAGGTCCAGCTGCTGCCTGTTTGTAAAAATAAAGTTTTATTGGCACACAGCCATGCCCATTGGTTTACAGATGGTCTAGGCTGCCCTCCTGCTGCAGTAGCAGAACTGGGTAGTTAAAACAGAGACTGTATGGCCTGCAGAGCCCAAAATATTTACCGTCTGGACCTTAACATCAAGTTTGCCAATCCCTGATCTAAAGCAAGCCCCTCTAATC